GTACGGATAGGTGGTATTTTTTAACCCATAATGTTCCTCTTAATTGCAAGAAAGTGTTTGATGACAATCCCGATAAATGTTGCAATATGACCTAAGTGAACAAACCAATGGCGCACACAATTTAGGTCAAATAGAAAACATAGGTTTTGTGTGAATTTTAGAGGGCTGAACAGCATCATTAAACTGAGACAATGTACGATTCCAGCTGCAGTCGAGACGCTAGGCCACCTACAGAAAGTCACGGTATTAAACCTATGCTTGCGCCAGTAGCAGTTATCGGTAAAAAAAAGAAAGTATCAGCTAGAAAAAGAGTTTGTTAAGGAGCTACAACAATACAAGTTTAAATGAATACTGTTTGGTTTTGCACACATACCGTTTATATTTTGATGATTGGTGACTATAACACTTACACATTTGAAGGATGAAAAAGTACATAGTGATGACCTTGTGGCACATAGTTTATCTGGAGAAGACCACAAAAGCATTGGGAAACGGTTCTAAGAATTATAAGGAGTTTGAAATGTGTAGTATAAAGGCTGGGTAGAATGTCGCCAGTGAGAATGTGACTTTGTTGGAGCATAAAAGCTGAGATGGTAAAATCAACGATTATGGTTGTCAAAAGCGTTTCGAACATTAACTAGAAAAGGGAACTGAGTCAGTTCTTAGAAGATTAGCCTTCTACAGTCGGTACATTAGAAACCTCAACGATATGGCACCTCCACTGTATATACTCCTAGACAGTTCAAAATTTTGTGTTGACCCGGAAAGTGCGGAGGATATTTCACCTCTTGGATGATCAGCAGATGACTTTCAGATTGACAGTACACAAAAAACTATCCATAGTCTCGACAGATGTGAGGGATTGTGGAGTAGTTACTAACCAACGACAGAAGGAATCACTTACTGAGTATGCCAGCTATGTGTAGACATCTGCCGAACAGAAGTATTCAAAAGTCGAAAAAGAATGTTTGACAACTGTTTTAGGCACTAAATAAATGATGGCCGTCAACGGTTTCAGATTAAAACTGCCCGCAAGTCCCAAAAGTGGTTGCAGACAGTGGGAGATCCCCGAACTAAACTAGAGCTATGGACGTTGTGCTTACAACTGCGTGGCTTTACGATTGATTGCACTCCAGGAAAAAAGAGTGTAATCACCTAATTTACATTATTTTAAGGGACTGTGTGGGTCTCTTGGTGTTTTGTTAGTTTCAATGTTCAATGTTTTTCTGATTCTGCTATTAGTCAACTATCAGAACACACGTTTCGAATTACTGTGGTATGTGGAGCTACAGAAACAAACTGACAGCTAATATTGCGAAGAGATTGGCATCATCATTATTCGCAATATGGTAATTAAATTTCTGTATCCAATTTTAGTACCATGTTCATACTAAACTTTAAGTCTTTGTAATGACAAACTCATGAGTATTAAAGAAGAAGTTAATATGTTTGGCAAGCTCACACTTTGTTGCTCAAAAAACAGTAAAGTTTTTCTGCTCAAATACAGTCTGCAAAACTGAAAGTAAATAACCCCTATTTCGATTAAATTTGACAGGTCAATAAAGTTACATATACTAATTCGAACTGCAGACCTACGCTACAGAAATTGATCAACAATAAAGATAAAAAGGGTTACAAGTAAGTTTGTAAAGATCAGCTGTATGCATTAATGAAAATTCCTTCAAAAACACAATGAACGCAGTAGGCTTTTTACTCACTAACTTGAGTATAATTTTATTAAAAACTGACAATATTTAAAGAACTGCGGTACAATGCACAGTGTCGGATAGTTGTTCACCCAAAATTTGTAACATTATTTAACTGCCAATCAGTTGATCCTAAACATATGGAATTGATTTCTTTAAGCTAACCAATCAACATGAGTTTATCAGTATTGAGTTAGTGGTTAGGATTTTCGATTTCACTCACTGCCTGCTAAAAGGCAGTTGTCAATGTTCGCTGTGTTGGTGTCCAACATCCCACTCAGTAGAATATCTGGGAGTTCAAATTAAAGAAATGACAGGGGCTGAGGTTACCAACCACCTGATTTTGGCATTATGAGCTAGAAGAGATGTCCTAGTCCTCAGTTAGATAAGATATCAGGGCTAGTAGCTTGAGTCGTTAAACATTCATATACTAGGACAAAACGCAAAGTCATAGCTGCCTAACTCTATATAATCCCGTTTGTTTATGAAAACCACTGAAATTTAGCGAATCCTCCTCAAAAATCGCCACATTTCTGTTTTCACTATCCAGTAAACTAGGTGGAAAAAGATAACATCGATTCACCCACTAACAGATATCTTAAATGCATCAAAAGCGAAAGTACATAAACTGTCCTCTTTAATCAATGTGAAATTTCGCTGTTTTGCTTGTTAATATAGATTACTGAGTAAATACGATAGCTGAAGAAAAAAACATTTCTGCTGTCAGTCAAAAAAATGATCTTAGACAGTAGTATGGATTTTGCGTCGCCCGAACTACAAAAACTAAATAAGTTTCTTTATTCTACAAAAATAGAACAAAATTTAAATACTGATTGAAAACCCAAACACTAGGATTATCAGTTATTCGGTGGTGTGAAAGGATTAATCAAAACACCGCCAGATAATTTCATAAATGGACCTATTAACTGCAATAAAATCAAACACTTAACACAAGATTCGTGCATTTATGTACGTACATATGTGTATATATGCTATCCATACACAAACAGAAACAACTGACTAGCCCTTTTCATTTTAGTATAACTAACTTAACAATAATACATACTGATAAACCGCCTTCAGTACAAATACAAATCAATACCATGAAGAAGAGCCGATCATAAATATTGATTAGGCTAGTCGGTTAAAGAAGTGAAAGATTATGTAACTGAACCCATGAACCAAATAAATGGGTTATCGATGACTCGGATTTAAGACATATCACACCATGAAACTTATGAAAATCAGGTTGGGTTCAGTGGTATTTGTCCAGACTTCATCAGACTTGACATTTACCAATAAATTAACTCATTCACGCCTATACCTTTCAACATATAAGTACTTCATAGAAAACTTTGGAACTAGAATTCACTTTATTTTTCCCGTTCATCACGAAAGTATCTTTAAATTCAACTAAAATAAAAATTAATTTAGAGTTCCTACAGTATAATATAACGATTTTCGAAAATGCAAATACAATTTAGTGACCTGAATAAAACTTATATGGCCCTGTACTGCATAGAATTGACAAACAAAACTAAGGATATGTTAATGAGCATTTTGAGTCATTTTAGACAAAGTATCATTGCAGAATACTTATTTTTAATATGAGAGTTAGTTGGCTGTATTAAGTATATATTTAATAGATGCTTATTCAGCTGAACACCTCGTTGGATTAAGCCTACGTTGGTCTTTATTTGCATGTGTGATGCATTTTAAAGGAGCTGACAAAGACCTGAAGATGCATTTCTGACGAAAGGTGAAATGAACTACAATGAACCATTACTGTATGAACTAGCTATCTACTTTTGAAGTTTAAATCCTATTTATACCCCCAAAACTATTCAGTCATATTTAAATTTTAGGTCGGAGTTCATCATGGACTGACCTCAATTGGAAGAACATTGGAAATTTGGGAGAACTGGACAGTTGTCTCGTCATAGTATGGAACTCCTCAGAAATGCAATCCCATAACCCCCCAAAACATCGAACTCAGGTTCCGTGGAAGGCACGTTACCATTGAGACACTAGATCGGAATCCAATGGTCCATATTTTCTACTTCTATCACTTCACCATATAGCGTGACCTACATCCGGTGTCGTCGTTGAGTAAGTGTCCTCATATTCCACTTGGTTGACTCCACTGGTTACGACTTCTCACTGGAACTTCAGTAATCACCTCTAGAAGCGAGTCACCATTCTGTGCAGAAAACTCAGTCTAATATATGATGGCTGATGGTACTATGTGAATGTGCGAACTAAACTGGGTGGTATGGTTAGTTTTATCTGTTTTAAAACTGCTCAAATAATCATTGGTAACCATATATTAGCTTCCTCTCACACATTTATCGAGAGTAGAATTATCAGGAACTCGTAATACGATTCAAATTTGGAAAGCAGGTGTAAGGCGTATCCATCAACAATGAATAGCTTTTTTCGGTTAGTCAGCTAAAGTAATGTGCTTCCTGTATATCATTATTCAGACAAGCTGATTGCCCAAATGAATACCCCTATTCTCTGGCGATAAATTATATTCACCGGTTTCATCGATAACGTCACATCGGTGACCCACCCTTCCTCTGCATATCACTACTATTCTGACCTACGTCTGGGAATAGAACACATAAGTATTATGTTGCTGCGTAAAATCTACTAATTAATATTTATGTTCCACATATTTCCCTGACATGTTAAGTAGCATTCCCAAAAATAAAGAGCAACCAATCGATAAATTACACCCTTATTTTTAGTTGTAATTAAGAATACTGATTTCTGATGCTTAACATTTCAAGACGTAATGGGTATTTACATTTTCAGTTCGCGTTTCACTTCACCCAATGTTTTGCGCATCCATATGAGTAATTCATCTATTTTTAAAATGAGGAAACAGCTAAGTGACTCACATTTTCTGAATTTTTAGATTAACTGGTCCTGTATTTTCAACATGTGCGGGCATAAATTGTTCCGATAAGCAGATGTTAGTTGAACAAACAAAGACGGTTGTTGATTCGATACCTAAAAGTTATATATACCTGGTGGGTACACTACTCAACAAATCTATGGAACATTTTTGAAACTAAAATATCTCCAATTTTTTTTATCTATTTATATCTGTTTCTTTTCTGACAAGCACTTATTAGGCACCTACTTAACACTTCATCAAGCAAGCAGCATAACTCAGACATTAGAGTGTCATGCACAACCACCAGATGAAGTCTTTATGGAAGTCAAAGAGAAGCCTTTCCAACCAAATTAAATTAAAACAATGAGATAAATCTTTAAAACATGGCTTACTTTCATGAAAAACCGCTTGTTTGTCAATACTAATCTCAGAGGTATAATCGGTGCTTAGCCTATTGATCATTGAGTTAGGCTCATCTGTTGGAAGGTGGTGTGTGAGCTGTTGTTGCTGGTCTGGTGTATTAATCATCACTGGATATTTAGGCAACCATTTGATAGTTTCTGTTTCAGTTGGGTAGTGCAGAAGTAACTTCTGTTGTTGTTGTTGCTGCTGCTGCTGCTGTGGTTTTTCTTGATGATGGAGATATGTGACCCCAGGAAAGTCATGCTGAGGTTCAAAACTACACTCTGTTGCCTGGAAATGTGATGTTAAATAAGGAGGATTATCTGGTTGAAGAATACTCTGTTGGTGACTGTAATCTGATAATGATGATGACGCTGATAATGATGAAGAAGACGAACAGGAGGATGAATATGATGATGAACAAATTAACTGATTTGGATGTTGTTCATCATATCCTTTCATATTACAATTACCAGTGTTACAAAGATTGTTTGTAGCGTTTGTAGAAGCTTTCTGTTGCCTTAAAACTATTGCTGAATCACAGATATGAATTGCTGATGGAGAGCAAGAGGGTGGGAAAGATGTCGGTGGTGATAAGTAGGAATTATATGCGTCTAGAGGATAGTTGGAAAGTGAAGAATCAAGTACTTCATGGATTGTTCGACTGGTATTAAGTATTTGGTCAGGACCTTTCACATTCTTTGATTCCATGTGATTATCTAACAACCATGAAGAAGTAGCACTTGAATGAACTACCTCGTTATGCATAAAATTACCCTCACTAGTGCATTGTTCGTCATCATCATTTTCATTTTCCATGTTATAGCTGGTCTTATTCACTTCAAAAGTGGAGGTTTCATTGGGACAATTTAAATTATTTTTTAGGATTAACGAATTTAAAGCTGCAATTTCACGGCTGTTATACTGTAGTGTTGTATTGACACTTAATATTGAATGTACTGGAGAATACAAAGACGAAGATGATGTTAGTGAGCATGTTGTTTCGGTTGATGAATTTCTGACTATCTGGTTGCATTTGGATAGAAGCCCCAGGAGATTAGGATTCAGTTGATTAATATGGTTTGTATCATCAGTGTAACTGTTCTGAAGACAATCATATGCATGTTCATTATCTGCCGTTTCTTCACCATCCACAGTTTCAACAATGTCACAATTTTCATCATCCTTACTAGATACAGTCATTAAGGTTGTGGAAGGTTCACTGATAGTTCTCGTATCCTTTTCTGCTGTAGAAAACTTCTGATCACAGTTTAATGTACTTAGAAATAAATTTTGTGGAGATGAAACTTTTGACTGGAGAGAATTTACCTGCCTAAAATTATGCTCTTCATAGTTCAAGACATCTGGCAGAGAATTCATTGTTCCTGTACAAGATGTATGCCCAGAAAATCTATTGGGATTCATAACATAACAGTTGGTCATTGATGTAATGGGATTTGAGGTTAACGGAGAAGCACAGCATCCAGTATGAACATTAAAACAACATGACAAAGACATAGTGGACGAATTCTCAAGGCAGCAACAACATGGATGATGGTGTTTGTTGTAATTATCCGACCCAAGCCTAGATGGCAAGTTATTCACGAATTCCATAGTGTTCTGTGGTATACATGGTTTTTCATTCAAAATATCTGAACAACAAAGTTTTCTTGAACTCATAGATTTGAAGTCAGTTACACTTGTAGAATCATCTGTTACTAGTGTTGTAGGTGTTGGTACACTGAAGATAAACTTGTAGATTTTGCTGTTTCAAATAAATAACGATGGCGGTTATTCTTTTGAACTTTCTTTTTGTTACTCTATCTCACCCAGTTCGCTGACACTCCGCTAGTAATAACTGATTAATAGATAAGTGTTCATCTATTACCTAAGGATGAAGGTAAGGTAAAGAGAGGGAAGTGTCTACTTGAAGGATGATTAAATTTGAAGATATTTTTTCATCTCAGAGTAAAAAAAAACAATAAAAAACTAAGAAGCATCAGATAACCAACTACTTCATCCTATCCTACGACTGTTCACCAGTTATTACCCAACCCTCATGATAAATTTAGCACTGCTATACTTATCCAACACTCAGAAGTCTGTATTTTTCAACTGCAGTTATTTCATGGTACAAAACGATCAGATTTATTATCACTGTCGATTCACTTAGTACCCTGTACTACAGTTTTCTCATTAGACTTTTGAAAATTAACTTCCTGGTGTATGATAACTTTCCTTAACTGTGATACTCTGAACTATGAAATTCTCCGCAATGAACTGATCACATCTACAGTGACGTTTTCCAGTTGAGTTAAGTTGGATGTATGCTTATTCCATGTTCATTTGGAAATTTTGATTAGATTTATCTCCAAAATAAATTTGCTAATAGTTTCATCAATTACTTTCTTAATCTTTTACCGAGAAATCTATTTAGATCACATTTATAATCAAAATTATGTTTATTGTATAGAAAGTGTGATTGTAAAGGATATCGTCAGCTCACTTTCCTCCTTAAATGAGTCCTTTATTATGAACTTAATAAGAAATCTAAAGGTAACTTTGATCACTGACAGAAAGACTTCAGATAGATGGGCATAGAAAAAAACCAGTAAAGTACTGAAATGGCATTTCATTCTTGCTTAACACCTTCAAGTCTTTTGCTAAGCAGGTCTTTGAACTAATGTCTAGATTCTATACATCTCCGCAAGCCTCCAGACAGGATTAATCTAGCGCTTATTGATGACTCGCTTCTAGAGGTGATTACTGAAGTTCCAGTGAGAAGTCGTAACCAGTGGAGTCAACCAAGTGGAATATGAGGACACTTACTCAACGACGACACCGGATGTAGGTCACGCTATATGGTGAAGTGATAGAAGTAGAAAATATGGACCATTGGATTCCGATCTAGTGTCTCAATGGTAACGTGCCTTCCACGGAACCTGAGTTCGATGTTTTGGGGGGTTATGGGATTGCATTTCTGAGGAGTTCCATACTATGACGAGACAGCTGTCCAGTTCTCCCAGATTTCCAATGTCCCTCCAATTATTGTCTAGATGTTACTTTATTCAGGTTTCAGCTAGATCTCATATTACGGACGTAAGAGAACACTTCTATGGAGGTGACAACTAATACGGAACACTCATCCAATGTGGTCCATAGTTTCCAATCATTTTCTACCATACATCAGTGTGTGAAGAATACCATCCTGAAGTCAATCAGTTCTTAACAATTCACCTAATTAAATAAATTGGGATTCAGTATGTTTGGAAATATGCAAAAGGGGGTTTGCATGTACTTTTTTTAATGATTGCATCATTGGGTTACATTTCTGTTTACAATTCAATTGTCCTCCGTCTCGTCTCATGTTCACTTTTTGACAGTTACGTGTTTAAAAAAGTTTATGACTCATTTTCCATATAACACTTGATTCAGTAAAAAGAAATTGTCATATTATTCAGTCATTGATTTTGTTGCTTGTTGCGTAATCAGTGTTTCTTTACAACGATTTTTGGTAATATCTAAACACCTGTCATCATTTTTCTAACTTGGCTTGTAGTGAAGCTTAAGTATACCATTTATCCAACGAATTTTTAATTTATATCAAGTAAAACAGTTGAAGATGAGAAATGATCACAACCCTGATTATGAATAAAATACGCAAAGTAACGAATGTGCACAAAATTGGAAAAAAGTGATTTTAACATCAAGCATATTCGGTAATAACCCATGGATAAGGGTTCTAACAATTGTAAACACATTTGGCTTTGAGTCAAGAGTTCATATCCTAAAAGTTTATAACCTTGTGTCGATGTGAGAACGATTGTGATGTCACCGAATTATATTGAGACTACAGACTCAATAGACAAAAATATTTCATTAGGTGACAGACTATACCACACAAACTAATCAAAGGGATATGCTGTTTTGCAAGAGTATGGAAACTGCTAATACTAATTGTAAGTATACCGTCAACATTCCCACTGTCATAGCTGAGTATGGGAATGTGTAGAGACTTATCATGTTCCCGTAATTCGCAAGGGAGATTAATGGGTCAACCTAGGTGAAAATTGTGCAGAAAACTTACAAATAAAGCCGCGGAAGACAGCGAAACTATAATAACATTTAAGGACCAAGTGGAAGACCAATAATTACCCTTTTAGTCCTGTAGTTTGCGTCTGGCTGATAGTAGATAGATTGCTGCGCCGGAGTTGGTTAGTAGCATTTAGTAGATAAACCTAGAAATGCTGTTCGGAGTGAGTTGTTCTCTGAGCTACAAATATTCTCCACAATTTCCAGGAAAAGTTATTTGAAATTGAACATACATACAAGATTGGAAAGGCTGTGAAACTATTTAACCGGTAGATTGGGAAATAAAAAAGAAAACTTGCGTATTTGTAGGGTGTAGTCCTTAGTAAACACAACAACAGGGGGAGGGGGGGGATAGTTTTCATCCCTTATCCAGTGGTCAAGTAAAAATGCAAACGCGGTTGAGAACTGTGAAGTTAGGTGCTATACACGTTCTAGAATATGACGATGATAAATAAATGGGTCTGTGCATTTCGAAATGGTAGTACTTACTATAAAATTTACGTTAAATTGTAATCTAAATGAGGAGAAATCAACGATACTGCAAGTATTTATTTGTTTGTTCGATTCCTTTGGCATATTCAGTATACGGTTGCTTCGAAATGATCTAAAGCTTTATTGTGCCATAATTGCGTTAGTTGTGACTTACAGTAGAATTCAGGACGTATGTCAACTCCTATTTGGCAATCATCAACCAATTTGTCCTTCTAACAGAGTGATTTTTTCCTGTTGGACTGGAATCCAGATCCCCTTTCTTCAGTGCTAGAACGTTATCCACTAGCCTACTGAGTTAAGGTAGAGGAGGTAGACTGAACCGGTTCAGCATAACAATGACAAACTATAAGTTTCAATAAATAGCGACTGATATCCGCTATAAAGCAGGTGACTCCCATGAATTATTTGCTTAGTGAAGAACGCTCTGGCCTGTGAGGTAATAATTCCAAGGTTTCAGTATCATTGCGGAAGCCGCTGAACCCAACGATGAGTCCTAGGTGGAATGAAACTATCATTCTGCATTGCAACTCAAGCCACTACTGAACAAACTACTGCACGATAAGTTAAATAGCTGAATGCAGTTAAAATGCTCTGGAGACAGCTTATGTGTCCAATATGAGTTCGTTTTTCCAACGAGGGTCATCTTATCTATAGAGAAAAAGTCCAATCATCACCACCATGATGAAACCTGTTTTGTACAACAACAAAAAAATACCAATATAATTTAAAGTTAACTAGAAATGCGCTAGGACAGGAATCCAGATTTACGATTAGTGGAATCCGTGTAAAATCACTTGAGTTTCGACTGGTTTCACTTAGCATGCTCACTGAGTTACGGGACCTAACTGCTGACCTAATTTTTATTTCACAAGTACGATCATTGATAGTAACATCATGAATTCGCATGGCAGTCTAGTTGGAAACTCTGTGGTGGCTGGTCAAAATTATGCCACTGCGTAAATTTTCATGTCACCTTCAATCATTACCCAGCATCAATACAAGTCTACCAAACCACGGCTATCTAAGGTAGCCAAACTGATAATCTACAATATAAACAGCTGTCTAAAGTTCCTGAATAAGCTTTTACAGTAATTAGGCTATCAGTTACGCTGCGTATTATTCACAGTTGAAGAAATAATACCTCTAAACACACTGAACGGCTTTGAGAAGCTCACTATCCTAACTCTTTTTAATCGTAAACACTAAGGTTGTTCTATACCAGTGTGGTGATAGAGTTCAAAGCCTCATAATGAATATTTACCGATAGACAGCAAGGCTAAATAATCCGTTAGGAAAGTATAAAATTGATTTTTGTTAAATTGTTCAGTAACTTCTTTCCAGTTTTCAGTAACACCGTATGCGACAGTCTGCAGCAGAAATCCCACTGCAGATGCCTGAGCAAGGAAATTTTTTTCACTAACACCAGTTAATGCAACTACTGTATCTGTTTCATAAGACGAAGTGTACCTTTTTGTCATATGACCAATGAAACTTAACTATACTACATTCTTTTTCCATATAAGTAGTCAAAATAAGTGACTAGTCACAAATATTTTCAGTCTGCATGAAATTCAGTGAAAATTCTAAGTGACTTGTATCACAATGCTTCAGTAGGACTGAGGCCTATTGTCGATAGGAAAGTAAGCATGTAACATGAAACCTCTTACTTACTGATACTTCCAATTTCCAGCAACTACACTGACTTGAATTGTTCCAGTGATCTAGTGGATAACGCTCTGGAGTTTGAAGTTCGGGTCCAAGTGAGAGCAGCATCGCTGACTGAGGTGCAGGTACATCCAACTGACGAGTCACCGATAAGATGAAATGTGTGTTTGCATTCCACTGCTAGCCACCAAATAGACTACAACTGAAAGCTGTTATTTTAAACTCTCATTAGCTAGTATAGTCCTTTCGACCCTAACAAGTCCAAGACAATTCTCATGAATAAACTATAAAAGGTTTTAGTTTTCAGGTTTGTGAAGGGAATAGGACTTCAAAATACACCTTGGCGATATTCACTGACAGACATTTATCACTGAGTCACCAGTTATTCTTGATGTTTCACTCTCAATTATTGCTTTTCAGTCTTGTGAAGACATTCTAGTTACGTCGTTTTGCCTTAATAATTATCATTACTGTCTAGTCATGCATAATTCGATCTGGTAACCAATACTTCTGCTAGTCTACCTTTGTACGGTAGGCTCAAATCAGTAAACCTAATTCCGGGAGGAATTGACGTTATACAGTCACCGCATTTCACCACTTATGCATGAAAAATACTCACCGTAGTTATTCCTTATCAATCAAAAGTTTTGATTTAAAAAATAACCAGGAAAATTAACTCTTCTTATAGAAATGTTTACTTACCTGGAAGTACTTTTCCCTTGTATATACTAGCAGTAGGTTATGTATACATGATACACTTGAAATGTCTGTAAATATTGTTTTGATTAAATCGACTTATTCGCATTATGCGTAAATGATTACATCCAAGGGGATGAATAAATTTCACAAAAATTGACCTCCACTACCACCAATAAACTGGATCTTATTAAATGAATACGGGACATATTTGAAAGTAAACCAATCAAATTCAAGCTTTTTCAACAATTCGAAGGTAGACATTTTTTAACCAGATAAAAATTTGTCCAATAACCATTATGAAAAGGGTACACACACTGTTGATGGTTAAAATCAGTACTCACCAAAATTTAAAAGTGGAAATAGTTATTTGAATTATGATTGGTTAGTCAGTGTTTTTGACAGCGGAGTTTATGTTAACATAAACATGACTTTGATCGCCTGGATTCTATAGAAATAATGACTTTAAATCCAAGTTATTTGCCTTTACAGAGTGCCAAAGTCATTTGGCATAATAATAAAATAAGCACAGGACAGCTGTTTCGTCCTAGTATGAGATTCCTCGGCAGTAAGCACTCACGACCCGGCTAGGGATCGAACCGAGGACCTTCAGGTCTCACGGTGAACGCGTTAACCATTCAGCCACTGGGTCGGTTTCAGTGGTTCACAGTTTCCAACTCCTGTCAATTCGCGATATAAAGCGACTATCACCCAAGGTACTCACCAACTGAAGACCTAGGGTGATAGTCGCATACTAGGACGAAACAGCTGTCCGATGCTACCGGATTCTCAATGGTCCCGCAACTGATGTCAGTCCATGACGAATACTACCTTTAAATTAAAAAATATCTCCATTCATCTCAAAAATACATTTATCCCTAATACTATACTATACTATACTATGACAGTTTAAATAATATGGAATAAGTAAGATTTCCGTTTTACACTTACACCTTTGGAATTTGTAATGTACATTAACTACTTGCGAAATATACCACTAGTGAAGAGTTTCAGTAGTAGTGCCTTCCATGCCTTGTGATCTAGACTGAGTGGTTTCCAGCGGAAACCCTGTTTACACAACACTTGAGCAGTTTGGAAGTTACTCAGCTGTGAGAAATATCACAGTGGATCGTGCAATTAGTAAATCACTTACAAACTGACCATTCTGTTTCATGTTAACTGCTTACCTAGCCACCTAGACTGTGTGCATAAGTGTTAAATCCATTTGTTGGTATGGCCACTAGTCATTGCATAAATTAAGTATCTTTTTCCAACTGATATCAGTCCGCGATAAATACCATCTTAAAATCGGTAAACTTCCAACAACCTACAAATTGAATTACTGTTCCATCCTCATTGGTGATATACTTCGAGATGAAATTTCCTGAAATTCTAGTGAGAAGTCGTGACCGATGGAACAAGTTATAGTCGAACATTGGATGGAGGTTGTATTATGTTGTGAATCGACAGAAGGAGGAGAATTTTGAACACTGTGTTCCAAAGCAGTAGCTCAGGGGCAACGTGATCACCGTGGTCCCTGAAGGTCATGGGCTTTGCTCCTGCTGAGGAGCCCTGTACTAGGACGAAACAACTGTCCAGTACTTCCATATTTTTGACTGTTCCTCAGCTAATATCACCCCGTGATGAATACTACCTTAGAATCTTCAAAGATATACTTGTGTTATTCACCTTCCCTTTACTTCATCTTCCGGGGTCCACGGGACAAGAGGAACCAGTGGTTGGAGACCCTAGGTGATATGGCTCAGAACCGAAGTCAGTGGCGCAGATGTATACACACATTATCCTCATCTTAACAACGCTATACCGAATCTCACTATTTTGTCACTCCTCTTTCCTTTCTTCTCGTACTTTATATTTCTTTTGACTGCATTCACTTATCTTCATCCTTCACCTCACTACCTTTTACTTGATGTGCTGATATGAGGTGTGGCAACTCGGACCGTTACGCAGTAATGCCTGGTCCTATGTTGATAATGATGATGATGATGATACTTCATCTTCCAGCATGAACGGATAGACGGAAACGAAGATTATGAAAGAGCGTGAATTAAAAGTTGAAAATCAAGAACAACTCACAAGTAACTTTTAAATATGACTATTAATAAATAAGCCGGCTGGTTACGCTGAATAAGAAGAATGCATATTGAGTCGACACTATCATTTTTTACACTTATTCAGTCACACTGAAGCACTAAGCTTCCTGTCGATTGTTTTCAGCCAACCAACATCCACCAAAGTGTACGGTGATGGTGAATCTCTTAGCTTGGTGACTAAATTGCAGAATAAACGATAGAATTCAGTCAATAAACCCAGAATTAGACAGTAAGAAACTGGTTACTCTCCAGTGATCACTCATTGTAATTACCTTTTTTAATCATGCTTGTCTACTGGCTGGATGGATCATCTCTTACCAACAGTTTACAGGCTGTCAGCCCCTACCATATTACAGCATATTATGAACATTTCAACCTCTGGAATCTGAGGTGTAACTGTGTACTTAAATGATACGATCAAAACTGGAACAAATTGTGGTAGATTTTTTAGTCGTCTAGACTACACATTTTTTGAAGTTCGGTTTCCAATTATGTGAAGACAAGCATAATGTTTGCATACAGTCTGTTAAATACCTTGTTTTTGTAGCAAACAGAGAGAGGTAGTTGTCGAACAGATCCTACAAATGTTGCGACGATTAAGAGGATACCTGCCTCACACAGCTTCAGTGGACTGCGTGCATTTTCATGATTTGTCAGTTTCTACATTTCTTTTATCCTGGAAATGCATCAGAAAACCCTTAGGTAAACTATAGGAAAAAGTGTTGAATGAATACCAGCTTGCGTGTAAAAAGGTTAAATAAATATTATCTTCTAGTCTGCTGCTTGTACAATACAATCTCATGCTGAATATTGTTCTAGAGAATGATGCATCTAACTATTATATTGGTGAGGTCATCTCTCATGTGTTTCTAAATAGTGTTGAAAATCGATTATACATACACCAAGGACGCTAGTAAAAGCCTCACAGAATTTCAGTTGGATCGAAAAAGAAGTTTCAAGAAATGCTGTACGTTTGCAGTTTTAGTTTGCCCATTTACAATGAGATCCTTTGGATAGCCCTTGGTTCTAAAAGATGAGTCCCAGCATACATAGTAAATCGTCTTCAGAGATGGGAAGTTATTCTGTTGGGTTACGATTTGGAGATAAAATAAACGTCTACAGACGATACGATTTCCCATCTTGAAAATTACGGTTTGGAAAATGAAGATGTGGTTACTGCTGTTGTTTCTGTTGAAGAGAAAGTGAAGGAAGTAGTATTTAATGCTGTCGATTCCACATACTCATCATTTACAGAGATGATAGAAGCTAGTTGTCTTGACCCTCTGATACGCAATGTTATCAACTTTCTCCTCTGCAGTTGAACACCAAGTGTTGGTTAACGAGAAATCAGACAGTTTCACCAGAGGTGGAATTCCATCTTAGTATTTGTCAGCTGCTTAAAGTTTAGCGATCGTGTGGTTATCCCCCAAATGATGAGAAGTGCAGTACTCCATCAGTTCCACTCATCTAACTAAGGAATTAACAGAGGATTGTCAGTTGCCTGGAGCTATGCTGATTGGCCGAATTTCGACAGTGAACTGGTGTACATGGCCAGTACTAGCGCAGCAGGTGTGTGGAAACCACGGAGTTGGAAGTCGAACCAGAATTATATTCACAGCCTATTCCAGAAAGCTTATGGTTCAGAGTTCATACTGATTTCGCTAATCCATTCCTAGGATAATATTTCTCAATGACGACTGGTGCAGTTTTGAAATGGCTAGAGGTTTTCATAATGGGAAATATTTCCACCCGGACTACATTTCAAAAAGCGAAAGAGGCATTTTTTTCTCTTTTCGGATTACCCCAAGTTATTGCTAAATGGAATAAAATAAGCTTCATTTCAAGTAATTTTCAAAATTTCTGTCAAGACATTCAACTCTAGCATATTTGGTTTCCACAATTTCATTTTTAGTAGAATGGTTAAGTAGAAAGATTTGTCGATACATTCAAATGAGCCATTCTGAAAGGGAAGGATGACGTTGTCAAGAGATTTCTTTTGGATTGCCAGTCGACTCTAAACTCATCAGCAAATAATGTACTATAATCTACTGAGAACATTTTTGGACGTAACGTTCATATTATCTTGGAAAATTTACTTCCAGAGTCTCGAAAAGCAATAACGAGTGAAACAAGTACAAACACGCCATGGGGTGAAACCCAGACATTTTTCAGTTGAAAAGTCAGTATATGTTCATGATTTCCGGGTCACCATACCGAAACGGACAGGTGGATTCATAAAACACTGCCTGTAACACACAAGGCGGAAGTTCGAGGTACGCTGTAGTTGAGGTATGTATACCATATCAGAAAACTTGTGGGTAAATCTTGTGTGAACAACTAGCTTCGAGAAACGTTATCACTGCAAATCTGCAGTGGAGAAATGAGGAAGCTAAGTGAACAACAACCAGAAAAGCAGAGATTGCGAAGACCAACGGATTATCTTCAAGTGGTCCTTCAGTCGAAGACATACTAGAATTCACGAAACTTACGTGAGGGAGTCGTTAAAACGGACAGAAGCATAGCTGACCGGTTGATGTTTTCCGTGTAAGATGTGGACTAAGTACTGGCTAAAACTCATGTCATTCGTATTTAATTAGTCCATTATTAACCTTGGTCACATGTCGTGATATTAGCATTTGATTAGTCCATTGTTAACCAGTGTCTGAGAGGATAGTTTTTCCATGTCAAACTTCACAGTAATTGGCACAATAAAATAACTATGTAAGCAGCTGTACTTTTAGTTAGTTTTTGATCTACTGTATATTTCAGTAGTGCGGGGACAATACAGCAGGGATCAGTAACGATTGTCACGTGTTATGGTGTTGCAAATGTATAAGGATGTTTCCTAATTCGTAGCTAATTAGGTCGAGGAAATCACTTATCGAATATTGTTCGGTCAGTTCAATATATGTATGTGTATTTGTATCAAGTAACAAATAGGATCAATATGAAAAAGAACATCAGAACTGAGTGATAAAAGATTCGCTTCATCCCATCTAATTTCCACATGAAAAATGTAAGCAA